CCGTACCGAACGACGTAACCGTACGGTACGGTACGGGTCGGTCGTACTATATTAGTAGTATAGTAGTACACGAGTACGTATACTCTACTATTACTACTACTATATATATATATATATATATATATATATATATATATAAGAAGGTACTACAAAACGCCTATTGGCGAAAATGAGCAGTGATTTTGCCTATCTTTATCATCGTCCAAAGTTCATCACATGGTCACGATTGTCAAGTAGTGTTTCATTTTTCATATTTTTTTTAAAAAATGGCAATTTTCTGAAATTTAGAGCACCTGTACATCTTAGTGAGGAGGACTTAATAAAAATATGAAAAAATTATTTCATAATACAAAATTACCAAAATACCCCTATAATTTTTCAGGGATATTTTGGTCAATTTATATTTTACGAATTATTATTTTTATTAGATTCTCCTATTTTTGATGAATACACGTTCTAAAATTTCAAATCATTCCAATTTGTAGAAAAAAAATAAAAAATTAAACACTACCAAACTACTTTGACCGTGCGATGAACTTTACACAATGATGAGCATAGGCGAAATCACTGTTCATTTTCGCCTATAAGCGTTGTGTAGTGTTTATATATATATGTATATAGCAATGATACAATGCAACGGTTGTATCATGGTATGATGCAACGACACTTCTAGAAAACCATGTTTGTGGTATTTGTATGACTTCAAATTTTTCACACACACTCTCTTCATCTCAATCAATCCCCCTAAAAAAACAAGTTCAATTTGAATCCTAGATATGGTCAAAATGAATCCCCTTCCTAAAACAAATCTAGACCTTTCATTTTGTGAATTTTAAGATCTTAGCCTTTATAAACTCAAAATCATTTTTTTTTTTTTAACATTGTTCATCTAATGATAATAAAGCCATCCAAAAAAATTGGAAATGAAAAAAGTCCTTCCAAAGCATAGATCGAAGCACCTCACCAAAATGAATGCCCTATGTTAATTGAGCTAAAAAAATACTTTTTAAGTTGTGTTTTCAATTTTTTCTTTTTTTTTTATTGTTCATTAAAATGAAAAGAGTGTATATTTCAAATTTTGGATTAAACAAATCGCCATAAGATGGTTTTTTAAGGTTGTTGCATCATATTACTATACAACGGTTGCATGAAATCATTGCTTATATATATATATTTCAAATTTTGGATTAAACAAATCGCCATAAGATAGTTTTTTAAGGTTGTTGCAAGATAGGTTTTTTAAGGTTGTTGCATCATATTACTATACAACGGTTGCATGAAATCATTGCCTATATATATATATATATATATATATATATATATATTTATTTATTTATTTATTGGGAAAATTTTATATAGAGCTGAAGCTCTAAACAATCAAATTCGAGCCTACCTCAAAAAATTCACTAGAAGAGATTGTTTTGATACCCAAATATCCTCAAATTGATCAACTTCACATCAAGATGCATGGACATAAGAAAAAAAATAGATTTGAATTTTTGAAAATAGAATATTTTGTAATACATTTTTTTACTGTCAATTTTCAAGATTTTCAAGTTTTTATAAATCACTCGATCTACACAATTTTTTATAAATCACTTGAATTTTCATTTTTTTTTCTATAAATTCAAATCACTTGAAAATTAAACGTACATTCTACTCATCAATGTGCACCTAATAAAAATATATAAAAATAATAATTCGTAAAATATAAATTGATGAAAATACCCCCAAAAGGTTTCAAGGGTATTTTGGTTAATTTATATTTTTTGAATTACTGTTTTAATAGTTTTATAGATTCTAATATTTTTTAATAATAGATACTCAAAATTTCAAGTGATTTGGATTTATAAAAAAAAAATTAAAATTCAAATACTAAATGAGGTCATGACCATTAGATTGGGCCCAGATTCAATCTGGGCCATTGGCTGACATGATTTTTTCCGTATATATATATATATATATATATAGATATATATAGATATATATATATATATAGAGAGAGAGAGGAAGATATTATAAAACGATTATAGGCGAAAATGAACAGTGATTTCGCCTACCCTCATCACCGTCCAAAGTTCATCGTACGTTTACGATTTGTCTAATAGTGTTTTATTTTTCATCTTTCATTTTTTTTTTCTACTAATCGGAATGATCTGAAATTTGGAGCGTGTGTTCATAAAAAATACGTGAATCTAGGAAAAATATAAAAAAAAATTACATGAAACAAATTGACCAAAATACCCCCAAAATGTTTCACACCTAGTTTGATCCTTTTTTGTGAATTATTATTTTTATATTTTTATTAGATGTGCCTCACTAATATGTATACACTTTCAAAATTTCATATCATTCCAAATTGTAAAAAAAAATGAAAAATAAAACATTATCGGACAATCATGATAGTGCAATAAAACTTTGGACGGTGATGAGGGTAGGCGAAATCACTATTCATTTTCGCCTATAGGCATAGGAAAGACTTTTCCATATATATATATATGAAGATATTACAAAAAGCCTTTAGGCAAAAATTAAACAGTGATTTCGCCTACCCTCATCGCCATCCAAACTTCATTGCACGGCATAGTTATCCAGTAGTGTTTCAATTTTTATTTTTATTTACTAATCGGAATGATCTGAAATTCGGAACGTGTACATCTTAATGAGGCGCACCTGATAAAAATATGAAAAAAATGATTTGAAAAAAATAAATTGACTAAAATATCCCCATAAAATTTTGAAGGTATTTTGGCCAATTTTTATTTTGTGAATTATTTTTTTCATATTTTTTATTAGGTGTGCCTTATTAAGATGTACACACTACCCAAATTTCAAGTAATTTGGATTCGTAAAAAACATTGAAAATTGAAACACTACCGG